TATCTATCTATCTATCTATCTATCTATCTATCTATCTATCTATCTATCTATCTATCTATCTATCTATCTATCTATCTATCTATCTATCTATCTATCTATCTATCTATCTATCTATCTATCTATCTATCTATCTATCTATCTATCTATCCATCTATCTATCTCTCTCTATATATATTCATCACCTTTTATATCAGTGAGTTATTTTTATGAAATGGCCGATGTCCGATATTTAACTTTATCGATAATATCGGCCAATACTATGCCGATAATATCGTGCATCCCTAGGAAATACAGATTTTCTTTTCCTATGCCAAGCTGTGCTGCACGCTGAAAGGACTGATCAGATTTTTTGAAAAGCAGTTCTGTGGAAAGCTTATGAACAATTAATATCTTACCTACTTAATATACAGTAGTTCTTTAAACAACCTCAGTTTGGAGAAATAAGACACTGACTGGACAGATGAGTTACTCCAAGCAAAAAACAAGATCAAAATGTTGCTGTCCAAAAAAAATACAAAAAAAAAAAAAACTAAACAAAACCATATAATCTCTAAAATTAGTGGTCCACATGATAACTTTTTTTATAAACATTACGCCACTGTCAGTTTATATTTACACAGTAAGTTAGGCAGAAATAGGACATTAAAGCAGAGAGATAGCTCGCTAGTTTCATTAGCAAATATCCATAAAACTTTATGTCAAGAATACTAAGACTAAACTGATGGTCTATAAAATAACTTTTGCATGAAACAATGACATTTTTTAGATTTGAATTGTAAAATGGCAGAAACACACTTCCGTCTCGTTTTTGCATGGACTAGCTGTTAGCTTCTCAAACCAGTCAGTTTCTCCACACTGAGATCATTGAACGAGCTATCCACAGCAGGTAAGATGTTAATTTTACATAACCTTTCTTAAAACCCCTACATTAAAAGATCCCAACTACTGTTTTAAATTAAAAGATAAAAACAGACTAAATTTAGTTTCAAACTCGTTATTGGCTATCGCATTAACACTGACGACTAGTCTAACAGAGTGAGAGAAAAAACAGTCCAAATAGCTCCAAATGAATAGTTTCAAGACTAGTATGACACAGGACCTACTTGTTGTGAACGCCGGCATCATCCTCTAAAACTCAGCACCTCATGCAAACAGCCCTCTGTCTTTTCATTGATGCTTAACATCGTCTCCACGTCTCAAACCAAGTCATTCTTGTTGTACGGGCTGACCAACAGCTAAGTTAAATAAATATATAATTATTTCAACGTAGCAAAAAACTCAAATGCTTGATGTTACATGGTGCAAGCTGCCTCGATCCATCCATAAACAAAAGTATGTGTTAAACAAGGTGCAAAAAGTAAAAAAGGACAGCAGGTTAAAGAGACAGTAAACAGCAATGAGAAGACAGAGCGGGGCAGAAAATAAAAGGAGGGGAGGGGAAATCACCTGATATCTTCTTGTTGCCTCACCTTTCTGTTTGGTCACCTTTCTCACTGTCAGGGCTGCCTGTCGCTTCTGGTACTCAGAAATCTCAAAACCTGAAGAACAACAGAGTAGTATGTTGACCAGGTGTTCATTGACGGTAGTATCTCACAGGGCTGTAACCATAGGCGTCGCAACCATTATATGTGAAGGGGACAAGTCCCCCCCACATTAAAAAAATGTTCATTTGGACCCCCCCACTTTTACTATAAAACATTAGTTCAGGCGGCACATTTTCTCTTTCTTCGTGAACAAATCCATTCCACTTGATTAATAGGAGAATACTCAAGCTACTAAAAATCCACTCCAGGTTTTCCTGGTTACCTCCAACTCTCCACCGTCCCTTCCTGCCTCCTGCCTCGGCAGAAAATGCGCACAGGAGGTGGAGGTACCTGTGTTACTCGCTCGCCAGTTTAGCATCTTAGTGCGGGCAGTGGTTGACCAGGATGGTTGATCATAAACATATGTTCATGTTAGGAGGATGCTTGAGTGCAGCGCTACGTCTGTAGCATGTTAGCTTAGCAGTAACTGTGACGCTGTCAGACGCTGCAGGTGTAAGAGACGTGGTGTGTTCAGGTGCATTAAAGTTGAAATATATTTAAACCCCACACCTTATTGTCCTCAAGCTTCATGAAAAACATCATTTAGATGAGCAGTGTTGAACACAAGTAAAAAAAAGTCCAGTGGTGATGGTTTTTATTTCTCTATAAAGACAAATAGTGTCGATCTGACGCTCTGTATTAAAGTGTATTAAAGTTAAAATGTCTTTAAAATCCACAGATGAATTTACACAAACTTGGTGAGAAACATGTTTTAAATGTGTGGAATTAAAGGCTGCTGTGTTTAAAGTTGGAGGTAACCAGGAAAACCTGGAGTTTTAGTGGTTTGAGTATTCTCCTATTAATCAAGTGGAATGGATTTGTTCACGAAAAAAGAAACTGCGCCGCCTGAACTAATGTTTTATAGTAAAAGTTGGGGGGGGGTCCAAATGAACGTTTTTGTAATGTGGGGGGACTTGTCCCCTTCACATATAATGGTTGCAACACTTATGGAATCAGGTCTGTTGGAGCAGCAAAAAAAGTACTACATGCAGGATAGAGGGCCTCGAGGGCCAAGGATTGGACACCCCTGTTTGAGAGTGGGAATCTTGAGGCACTTCATGATCTGATTTAATAATGATTTAGAGCTCTGTGATGCTATGATTAAACAATTATCAATGGATTTTCATTATTACTTCCAACTTCCACCTGTGTAATGACTTGTTAGTTTTAAAGCAAAGTATTTGTATACCTGCATTCCTGCAACAGTAAATCTGCCTATTTTATGTACCGGTAATCTTTTTTAGATTTTGAATCATCACCTAATCTCAAACTCAGTGAGACACCATCTTTAGAGACTAAATTAAAGTCCCAAACAAAATAAGCAGTTTTCAAACATGTAGGAACAAAAGGAATGTGATTACCAATTTTCTCATCCTCCTGAACCATTTTTCTCTCCTCGTGGAAGGCCCTGAGCCAGCGGATCTTCTCCTCCGGCTTTTTGGCCAGGAAAATGTGGATTTCTTCGCTGTCTTTGTTGTACAACTTAAAAGCGTTCTTTACACTGACGTTAAAGTCATCGTCCCGCCCGTCGATGGCGTCCCGGACCTCATAACGATCCATGTCGATGCGGCCCTTATAGTACAAGATGTCCCGCCGTATCAGGTCCTGGTGAGGAGCAAAGAAAGATGTGTGTAAATGTGTGTGTTTGTGTGTCGAACCGTAGAGCTGTCAACAAGTATTTCTCCTTTGGTATCCAGAGACCTGTCCATCTGCTGCCCAAACACATTCCAGCCATGCTTCTCTGTAAATCTGTTCTGTAGTTTACCACAAGGATATCCATCCATCCATCCATCCATCCATCCATCATCCATCATCCATCCATCCATCCATCCCCCCCTCCCCCTCCATCCATCCATCCATCCATCCATCCATCCATCCATCCTCTTTACCTGCTTCTTCCTTTTTGGGCATGGGGGTCACTGGTGCCCATATCCAGCAGTCACTGTATGAGAGATGGGGAAAACCCTGGACAGGTCTCCAGTCCATCACAGGGACACATAGAGACAAACGAGACAAATAACCATTCACTCTCTCACTCACACCTAGAGACAATTTAGAGTTACCAGTCAGTCTAACATGCATGTTTTTGGTCTGTGGGAGGAAACCAGAGTACCTGGAGAAAACCCACGCATGCACGAAGAGAACATGCAGACTCCACCCAGAAAGACCCCTGGACCAGGATTTGAACTGGCAACCTTCTTGCTGAGAGGCAACAACTCTATCAGCTGAGCCACCAGTTTCCGTATGCATGCTATTTCTTTAACACAGTGGTTCCAAAAGTGGGGGGCCCAAGAGAACCTTGGCACCATACTTCTTCTTTTTGCCACACCCTACTTATGTGAGAGATTTTTCTGCTGCGGCCTCAATCAAGACCAAATACAGGTCAAAGCTGGACATTGAAAATGAACTCAGTGGAAGTCTCACAACTGCAGCCCAGGTTTGAGAAGATCTGCAGCAACAAGGAGGCTCACACCAGTCACTGAAAAGAAGTGAGGATTAAAAGTGATGTTTTTGATCAACAAAAATTGAGCAAAATTGGGTGTTGGATAATTTTCTTATAAACCGAAGGAGGTCCCAGCAGAAAAAAGTTTGGAAACCACTGCTTTAACACAAGTCTACATTGTGGTTCTCTTTACCCTGATTGTTAAAATCATTAGTTGGGGTGAATTTTGTAGAAAAATATTTACTCCACTTCCCACAGTTAGAGAACCATGGATCTAAAGTTTAAAAGCTTCTAACAATTATTATTGTTCTCGTACTGCTGCCTTTACTGTGAAGAAATTTGACAAATAATTTACAATTTGGTTGCATCTTTATTTGTCAATTATTGTGTATATGTCAAAATAATTTCCTTATTATTAAAACTAATAATAAAGTACAAAATAATAGGTTCATTTTCACAAATCATTGGGTTATAGTAAGCTTCTGCACCCATAAGGATTTGGTTTTTCATGTGTCTTTTAATCCTAAAATAACAACTTTATTTTCATTATTTCTACTTTTTTCTCTAAAGATGATTTTAGTTATCTGTATTCTCAACATCATGGCATGAATCTTAAAACTGAGGGAAAAATCTTCCTAATTTGTTTTAGTACTTTTATTCACATTTTTCCCAATCTGTTGTTGTAGGAAATAGACTTGAAAGAAGAACAAGTGTTCATTTATGGAATGCAAAGTATGACAACAGTTTTATCTGTTAGCTGAAATTAAAGTTGATTATTTTTGTGTCTATTAAATTGATCATGTTCATGCTTCAGTTCAGCTCACTGACAATAATTTGTTAATCAACAAGTCAGTTAACCAGAAATACTTAATTTTAACAATTGACTCTCACTTTCTAAAATTGATTTAGTCTCTGAAATATGAATATTTGGAGTTCTCCTTTTCCAGGTGAGAGAGTGAATGATTGTTTGTCTCGTTTGCCTCTATGTGTCCCTGTGATGGACTGGAGACCTGTCCAGGTGTCCCCCGCCTCTCGCACAGTGATGGCTGGACATGGAACCAGTGACCCCTGTGACCCTTAAAGGAAGAAGCAGGTAAAGATAATGGATGGATGGATGGGATGGAACTATCGACAAGTTATAATTTAATTATCCACATTAAGCTGAACTTCAATGTAAAGCAAAAAAGCAGAACAAAAAGTGAGTGGTTCAAAAAAAAAATTATAATCTTGTCTCCAAATGAAAGCAACTCAAAGAAAAAAGCAATGGAGAATATTGAGAATCCCTGTGTGGAAACTGAACGATGGTTATTTGACGTGCCTCTGGATACTTGAGTGGAGAAGTGTTTGTAGGACCTCTGAACAACAAAAGGTGTAAAACAGCGAGGACATTTAATTCAAGTTCTCTCAAAACTGTATTCCATTCTTGTGGGTGACAGGAAGAGTCAAGGCTGTAATGTGTGCAACTCTGTTCTTCTTTACTACTAACTGGGACCATCACATCTTAAACTGCACTCTTTAAAGTTTAGCCAGTTTGCTCTTTTACGTTAAAAAATAATACACGTTTGTAACTTTGTGCTACCGTTTTATTTTTACTTTCTTATAATGGCAGTTGGTAGTCAGTATAAAAAGTTTGAGATCTACTTCTTTAAATGATCAGAGTATTTTGAGGTGCAGTACAAGACTGTGTCTGAGACTGTTTTTTGAAGGACTGAAAGAAGTTCTGAGAGTTAACTGCTTTGACTGACATTGTAAAATAAAGATCACACCGAGGACTGAGGACTTTATGCATTGATGATGAAAACAACAAAACATGCTGTAATAAATCCAGAGGGCTGGTAGAAGCCTTTATACATTGTGCACTATAGATACTGGACAAATAAAATATATGCAAACTGCTGAAATTTATCATTAAAATATCTTGTTGCTAAAGTCAGAATGTTTAAAGGCAGGAAATGTTAAACCAAAAAAAGAAAAAAAAAGTCTATTTGACGTCCATCCATTTTCTTAACTTTTCGCTCAGATAAAATAGACAACCAGTCACACTCACTCACACCTAGGAACAATATCCAATTAACCCAACATGCATGTTTTGGGTCAATGGGAGGAAACCAGAGCACCCAGAGAAAACAGCTTCAACACACTAATGCACTGGACCCAAATCAAACCCGTCTCCCACCTAACAACAACAACGTTACCTCTGAATTACCAAAGTTTTGGTATGTCTTTTTGTATGTTAAATTTTTCTCAGTTTTCCTGTGTAGTGCATTTTTGTTTCAGTTTTTTTTCACAGTAGGGACCAATTTTGAAAGAAATCCTACATTGTGGGGACCAATTGCTCCTTATGGGGAGCCTGGTCCCCATAATGATACGGGCGTTTTCACATCTGATAGTCCGGTAGACTCGGTTCGATTGGGGACCAAAATTCAGAATATTTGTTTACATTTTCAGCTGGTGTGGTTCACATTCACACTGCACTGAGTCAGTGGAGTCAACATGTTCCCCCCCTCGCCTGTGGGGGCGCTGCACCAAGAACTACTGAAGGAAACAACACAAAAACCTCTGAAGAAGACACTTCTTCTTCTGGAAATATAAACAAAAATAGAGTGGCGTCAAATTTAAGCAGTTTTAAGAGTTCTTTTTTGTCATTTTTTCAAACATGGACTCAGCATGAGTGGAAGATGAAGCAGAAGAACATGGAGAATGTTGTTTTTCACACAAAGCAGCTGGCGGCTCCATACGAGGTAAGAGAAATGCATGTTTGTTTGCCCTGCGTTGTACTCCACTTCCTGCTTGTGGAGCAGTGCCCGGTCTGATTACATTCACACTGTGCTAGAACTGCGTTCGAGTTTTCTTCTATGGGACTGAGACCTAGGTTTTAGCCCGGGCCAGAGTTCGCCTTTTTGTTCCGTGACAGAGTTTGCTGGCGAGTTCACACCTCCCAAAACGAACCGGACTTCCTAGGCAAATGGGCTAGAGTTCAGGACAACAGGGCTGGTGTGAATGCAAACGCAACAGCTCAAATATAAACAAACTGTTATGAATATTGGTCCCCAACCGAACCGAGTCTACCGGACTATCAGGTGTGAAAACAGGGTCAGGGCTATAGAAATTAATGGAAGGCAACACAAAGTCCCCACAAAGCTAGAATTATGAGAACATGCGTGTGTGTGTGTTAATGCAGTTATTTGGCCTCTGTGCATGTTTGTATCTAAGTGTCTGTCTGCATTTGTGTCTCCATCTCAGTGCATGCATCGAGTCCAGCCAAGCACAAACATTTGTTTGACAGAGAGGATAACAGCCCAAGTGCATTAGAGCCCAAACTACCACAGCTCCATTTTGTGAAATGCGCTCAGGATTTGAACGTGTCTTCCCAGAGGACTGGTGTGTCTCATCCGGCATTATGTAATCTGTTTTCAACTCCTCGCTGAGGTTGCATGAAGTCACACTGTCTTCAAGGATCACTCCTACCAGCCATGTGATACAACAACTTTCAGGAACACAAACTGGGGATTTATCAGAGCTGCCAGTTTGTTTTTACCCAACAAAGTCTGGGAAACAAAAGTAAGAAAATGAACAAAAACAGAGAAAGAAAGCGCTTACCTTCTTACAAAGTACCAGCTGGTGATCAAAGAGGAAGAAGACTCGCTGCTGGCTGCGTCCGTACGGCTGATAGATCCATGACAACTCCCCGGTGTAGATAAGCTCCGAGCTCCTGTCTAAGATATCTTCTCCCTAGACACAAACACCGACAGGCTTAAACAAAAAGGACACTTGTACTTGGTGCAGTTACAGTCAATTTACTCCTTATAGCTAGTTGTCCTCTGCCTTTGGAAACAATTATGTAACAATTACGCAGTGGCGTTTTGTAGATCTGATGAATCTTTTAGAAGTCTGAGACATTAAACAAAATAATAAATCATTAATTAGCTTAGAGTCATAGTAGGTAGAAAAAAAGAGACCAGTCCTCGTCGATTTTTACCTTTAATTTGGGATTAAAGGCATGAATCTGTGAAGAATTTTATAGACGTTATATAATGAAAAATTGTAATAAAATACACTGCCTGACCAAAAAAAAGTCACCACCTGGATTTAACTAAGCAACTAGGTACGAGCCTCCTATTAGATAATTACTGCATGAGTGATTATGTTTCAGCTGGCAACAAGTTATTTAAGCCCAACTGGTGCAATGAGTTGCTTCTCATTCCTTAAACAACCTTGTTGAAAGACACACCACACGGTCGTGGAAAAGATGTCAGTCTGTTTGAGAAGAGTCAAATCATTGGCATCAAGCAGAGAAAACACCTAAGGAGATTGTAGAAATGACTAAAATTGTGTTAAGAACTGTCCAACGCATTATTAAAAACCGGAAGGATAGTGGGGACCCATCGTCTTTGAGGAAGAAATGTGGCCAGAAAAAAATCCTGAATGACCGTGATCGACGATCACTTAAACGTTTGGTGAAATCAACTCAAAGAAAAACAACAGAAGCACTCAGGGCTGTGTTTAATAGTGAAAGTAAGAGCATTTCCACACACACAAAGTGAAGGGAACTGAAGGGATTGGAACTGAACAGCTGTGTAGCCTTAAGAAAACCACTAACCAGTGAGGCTAACTGGAAAAAAAAGGCTTTAATTTGCTAGGGAGCATAAAGATTGGACTCTGGAGCAATGGAAGAAGGTCATGTGGTCTGATGAGTCCAGATTTACCCTGTTCCAGAGTGATGGGTGCATCAGGGTAAGAAGAGAGGCAGGTGAAGTGATGCAACCATCAAGACTAGTGCCTCGTCATCAATGCAAGATATTGGTGAAAAATTAATGCAACACTGGATGGAAATAGATCTTGTGGCATTACAGAAGCTTATCAAAACAATGCCACAGAGAATGCATGATGTAATCAAAGCTAAAGGTGGTCTAACGAAATATTAGTGTATGACTTTTTTTTTTGGTGGTGACATTTTTTTTGGCCAGACAGTGTATGTATATACAGTGTATTTATATATATATATATATATATATATATATATATATATATATATATATAAACATACATACATACATACATACATACATACATACATACAGAATGTAAACTGAAGAAATGATTGGAAACTTCTTGAAAACATGTAGGAGGAATCAACAGACAAAAGAAAACATATTGGGACGGCTGTGGCTGAGTGGTTAGAGCAGTCATCCTCCAATGCAAGAGTTGGGGGTTCAATTCCACCATCAGTCACATGCCAAAGTGTACCTGGGCAAGACACTGAAAACCTCATTGCCTCTGATGTGTGTCCCATCTGTGTATGAATATGATCTAAAGCAATGATTAGTCTTTATAGAGATCTAGTAGAGCGCTGTATGAATGGGTGAATGAGGACACAGATTGTAGTGGAAAGAGCTTTGAGTATCTTAATAATATAGAGAGGAGCTATACAAGTGCAGCCCATTTACCATTTACCATAATGGGGGAGGATGTCTAAAACGACATCAAGGAGAAGTGTAGTAAACAGCCCCAGATTATAAAGCTCGCTGTTGATTTTTGAGAAAATTAAAGGATTTTAGGTGCGCCTTATAGTCCGAAAAATACGGTATATTTTGTACTTTCATAATCATAAGCACAGCAGTCTGTCCATCTTTATGGCAGTTTCTCCCTGTGTTGATTATGATTTATTTACTCTGAGTTAAAATAATCAACAAAAGGCATCACACAGTATACGCACCACAAAGTGTTTACTCCCCAAATCATGACTTTGTAATCGTTAAGAGAATACTCGTTTTTTGAGAATACTACACCTCTTTCTTTTACTATAGTGCAGCAATGTCTCTAATATTTGTTGTGAGAATTTCACCTTGTGGTTGGCGATATGAAGCAAAGTAAAACATAGCAGAGGCCATTTATTTGAAATCAAGAACAACGCACGGCAAAAAAAATAAAAAAGGTTTGCACTGCTGGGTAACAATGAATCTGATTTCTGTGGTGTGAATTTTAATCAAAATGTTTTTAGTTGTAAATGACTTCTAAAGGCCTCCCAGCTCCAAAAAAGTGCAAGATTACATCACTTCATTAAACTATTAAATAAAAGGCCACACATTCCTTATAGGAATGCATATCAGCCTCCACCTTTCCTGCCAGTTTAAAGTTAGGATCATGTTTTGATCTAATCCTAGAAATAACATTCTGGGCAATTTCTTTCAGTACTGTGAGATCTCACCCAATCTACTGACGCTTGGAGAATGTGTTATGAACGACTCTCAACTACTACCACATCAAATTATCGTGAAGTAGGGATACAGTAGGCCAAGTTCAAGTTTCACTCCCACGCTCCCTCCTTCTGTGTAAATAAGCAATGTAAATGTAAATACAGTAATATTTTAAATAAACAATCCTACAGTATTTAAATTTAAATTGTAGAGATGCGCAGCAGGACAGCAAAGGGTTAAGTCTTCACGCAGCAGCAACTGCACGGAGCAGAAATGCACTTCTTGGTCAATTACACTTCAACAACTGAACATAGAAGTTCTAAAATAATGAAAAATAACTTTTAACACTTTTATATTTGTGACTGTGACGTTTTTACGATGTGACATACTTAAGTTGAAAGACAAAAGCCGATCGGTGCAGCTGGACAGCAAAGGGTTAACCCTTCGCGAAGCTGCTTCAGCACGAAGGAGAAATGTGTGGGTGCAAGGGCGTCGGAAGCATCCGTAATGTGGGGGGGGACACAATGATGTGTGTAGGTGTGTGTGTGCGCGCGTGCTAAAAAAAAAGGTGTTCACTAGTGAACAAAAAAGCAGCATTTCAATTAGATTTCCTTTAATTCCACACATTTAAATCAAGTTTCTCACCAAGTTTGTGTAAATTCAGCTGTGGGTTTAAAGTAATTTTAACTTTAATTCACTTTAATAAAGAGCGTCAGGTCGACACTATTTGTGTTTATTGTGAAATAAAAACCATCACCACTAGACTTTTTTACTTGTGTTCAACACTCCTCATCTAAATGATGTTTCTCGTGAAGCTTGAGGACAATAAGGTGTGGGGTTTTAAAGACATTTCAGCTTTAATGCACCTGAACACACCACGACTCTTACACCTGCAGCGTCTTACAGCGTCACAGTTACTGCTAAGCTAACATGCTACAGACGTAGCGCTGCACTTCTCTCCTCCTAACATGAATGTGTGTTTATGATCAACCACCCCGGTCAACAACTGCCTGCACTAAGCTCGATAAACTGGCGAGTGACTAACACAGAGGTGTCTCCATCTCCTCCACCTGTGAGCGTTTTCTGCCGAAGCAGGAAGAGACGCGCAGAAACACTGCAGGTGTTGCACCATATTCTGTGACCACCGTATATTGTGACCGTGGCAACAGGCTGCTGTGTTTAGAGTTGGAGGTAACCAAGAAAACCTGGAGTGGAGTTTTAGTGCTTTGAGTATTCTCCTTTCAATCAAGTGGAATGGATTTGTTCAGGAAGAAAGACAAACTGCGCCGAATGAACTAATGTTTTATAGTAAAAGTGTGTGTGTGTGTGTGTGTGTGTGTGTGTGTGGGGGGGGGGGGTGTCCAAGTGAACATTTTTGGAATGTGGGGGGGACTTGTCCCCTTCACATATAATGGTTGCGACGCCTATGGTGGGCGGCAGGGAGCAGGGGGAGCTTCTCCCTGCACCTGTAGGCTGCACAAAGGTGCAGCAGCTGCTAAATCCTTTAAAATAATTTATTTTAAATAAAGAATCCATGCCGCTCGTGTGGCTCATCCATCAATCAGCCACTTGTGTGTCATGTCCACTCTTTGAAAAACCGCGAAAGAGCGAGTCCGCGACTGTCGAACTGCTAAGTAGCGAGGGACTACTGTGTATCAGTTTATGTGTTAGCAAAGAACCCTGAAAGTTCAACAGCTGTAGACCCTGTGATTACTTTATGAGAGTTTCTGTTTAGTGGTTCATAAGAAGTCCTGCAGACGAACACAGACGTGCACGCAGACACAGGCAAAAACAACTGCCTTCACATTTTGATACTAACAAGTCTGGAAGTGTTTTTGGTGGTTGACAATATGCTAAAAGTTCATGTGGATGAGTTAAAGCAGGGCTGTTCAACTGGGGGCCTGCGGGTGACTTCAATCCGGTCCACCAATGACTTAAAAAAAATTAAATTTGAAGGGTGGGGGGCGTTAGGTTCTGTTTATTGCATTTATAATTCAATGCAATAAAACAAACAAATTTAAAACGTAACAAATCATTGTAATACTTGCTTTATTTAAATAATGACGTTAATCGATAGATGTCCGGCCCCTGAGCTGCTGGCTTTCAGAAACTGTGGCCCCCCGAGCAGTTGTGTTGAATAGCCCTGCCCTAAAGTCTTAACACTGATAATACATATTTGTTCAAGTTTGTGAATAAAATACTAAAAACACTACAGTTTGGACTGAGAAGAAGCTTCTTTTTTTTTCTCACTTACCTCCCAGTCGAGAACTGATGCTTGCCACTGGGCGATCTTGTCAATGTTCTCCAACCTCCTCTTCCTCTCATTGATCTGTTGAGTGACGTTCCGCATCACAGCCAAAGCTGCTGCCACATATCGATAGTCACTGCAGACACAATGTATATGTAATCACTTCACAGTGATAGGCCTAAAGTTATAGTCTTGGACTCAGCCACTCAAAGACATACAAAGTTGCCTTAGTGAATGATAGAGAACAGCCTATTAAAGATAGGGGTAATAAACGGAGGTAAGTCCATTGGAATACAGTCAAATTAGCACACAGCCTATTTAATTTGAACCAGCCATCTCTTTATTCACAGTTAAGTCTGACAGCCTCTATGCTAACTGAGCTGGATTTATCCCTCTGGCTTAGATGTGCGATGGATCCAATCCTCACTTTGGAAGCTGACGTGCGCGTGTGTGTCAGCGTTGTGCGTATAAGTGAGACAGGCCTATATGTGGCAGCTTCTCCGCAGCTCTCCAACAGTGAAACACTGAGATCTGGCAGGTCTTTCTGGCAGAGCTGGCACCTGTCCCTCTCTGGCTGAGAATGCTTGGTTTGTGAATGACCTGGAGCTGGCGGAGACACGCTGAATTACTCGCACTGTTTGTCTGTGTGCTCACGCGCATGAGTTTGCACAACCGAATGCTCACTTACATATATATATGTGCATGAGAGCACATGTGCAAATGTTTACAATTTGCACTCAGCTTCTTTAATGTTCCATGTTTTTAGAAAAACATAGAATTAAGCTCACAGCACGTAGCAGAGAAAGCTCCGTTTCATTTTATATCTGATGCGTGCAGTACACAAATCATTATTTATTGCTACAAATTTGAGCATTTTTTGTACAACACGAAGACATGATTAAACAGTAAAACATTTATTTCAGTTCAAATATAGATTACTACACCTGCAAGAGCTGCATTGCAGCACAATGCATCTTGAACACAGTGATGCATCAGTACCACATTCTCTTTTAACCAATAAATCACCATAAAAATAGCAACAAATATTATAGATTAAATGTCATCTTGACCAAAGTAGACTGTACCTGTGCTCCTGTGCAGTATACTTAAGAAGCTCAGCCAGCTGGAGAGGATATTTGCAGATTTTCTGAACCGGTGTGAGCAAGAAGCCATCTATGGCGATGTCGATCATTTGCTGGAGGAGACGGCAAGCCTCAAAAAAGTGCTGGTACCTGCCGTCCCTCATCAGTTTGCTTAGCTCCATACAGGCATCCAAGTGGTTGTTACAGTATTCGGAATAGATCCAAAAACCATCTTGCTGTGGTGTAAAATTACAAAGATGTGTGATCGGACAGCAGAATGGATAGAATGATTCATTTTGACATAAAAAGAAAATCACATTCAATCATTGCAGGCCATTAGTAAGGAACATTTAAATGTTGTCTCAATGTACTAATTTAATTTAGCTACGGTCTTTTGATAATACAACAAAATGATTACAGTAGTCCCTCGCTACTTCGCGGTTTATTTATCGCAGACTTGCTATTGCGGTTTTTTAAAAGAAGAGTGGACATGACACACAATTGGCTGATTGATGGATGAGCCGCACGATTGGCTTGGAATTTTTATTTAAAATAAATTATTTAAAATTATTTAGCACATGCTGCACATTTGTGCAGCCCACACTGCAGGATAAGCTTCCTGCTGCAGCTGATCAGCTGTTCAACATGCAGAGTGGAAAAGTGGGCGTGGCCGAGCTTGCAGGTGGCTGGGAGCAGAGGAGGCAGAGAGCTGAAATCATGACATTCTGTGCTCTTTTAGAGCGTTTAGAGTTTAGAAAAAATGTATAGAATATACATATATATATATATATATATATATATATATATATATATATACTAAAATAAACTACTACTTGCTTTTTTTCATTTACCCTTTATATATACAGACAGGGGCAGCACAGTGGCACAACTGGTAGAGCTGCTGCCTCTCAGCGAGCAGGTCCCTGGTTCAAACCCCGGTCCAGGGGCCTTTCTGGGTGGAGTTTGCATGTTCTCTCCGTGCATGCGTGGGTTTTCTCCGGGTACTCCGGTTTCCTCCCACAGTCCAAAAACATGCATGTTAGGCTGATTGGTAACTCTAAATTGTCCTTAGGTGTGAGTGAGAGAGTGAATGGTTGTTTGTCTCGTTTGTCTCTATGTGTCCCTGTGATGGACTTGCGACCCGTCCAGGGTGTACCCCGCCCCTCGCACAGTGATTGCTGGACATGGGCACCAGCGACCCCCATGACCCAAAATGGAATAAGCGGGTAAAGAAAATGGATGGATGGATGGATATACAGACAGGTAGTCGCAATGAGTCACTAAAACTCATTTTCAACAGAGACCTGTTTTTGGAGGCAGATGGTGGGGGTTGAAGGCCTTGCTCAGGTGCCCAGGGTGGGGCAAGTGAGGGTGGAGACAGGTGTGGGTGTTTCAACTTTTCCACCCACATGTTGATGTTGATGGTACCGGGAGTTGAACCTGCAACTTTCTGATCACAGGCCCATCTTCTCTAGCCTCTGCGCCACCACTCCCCCCACTCACTACTTGTACTACTATTCCTACTTCGCAGTTTTTCACTTATCGCGGGGCTTCAGGGTACGGATCCCCTGCGATAAACGAGGGACTACTGTAGCTGCTGATAGATAAACAGTGGGATTTCATCTTTTGTGTCACTTTCCTAAATAATAAACAAAAACAGAAAATACTCACGTGTTCTAAAAAGCATGGCCCAATTTCAGAGAGGTGTGGTTCCTCTGTGTTGTACTGTTTCTCCAGATCTCTAACAAAACCCATCTGGAAGCGAAAAATGTCCTCAATGTTTCCAAAGATAACCTTCAGCTGGTCGTCATTAAACATGTCCACACGCTTCCTACACTGGCGCAGGTAACCCTGCAACAACATGAGAGGCAGTTAACGTCAGGCTAAAGGTCATAAAACGTCACATTCTGTGACAATATCAAGATGTCAAGTAATCCAAGTAATCATATTCACTGATTTTACATCTCTCCAGGTCTTAGCATTTTTTTTCTCCATACAATTGATTTCTGAATTAAACACTGTATACTACATGACAGGCGCTGTGGAAAAAGGTTAGGACAAGAAAAGGCGATGTAGAATGCAGCGTGCTTGGACTAGCAAGGAGAGGAGGTGAAATTTATGCTTTATTGCAACTATTTTTAAACATTACGCTTCATTCACTGTACAAACAAGGGCATACAAAGGATCAGAACAGATGATGAGATAAGCAAAAACGTACATGAGAAAGCATCCAAAGAGAAATAGATGACTTATCTGTTTTATTACATACACACTCGTGCTGCTGCTGGAACTGAAGAATTAGTCGTGTACTAGCTGGTATTTCAGTATTACCCAGGTGGTAGATTTAGAAATACCAAATTGTTGTGACTTCACCCATTCTTTTATTTCCTTTTTTCTTTTGCTCTTCTTTGTTGACTTAACTTTTGAGGGGTACAGCCAGTGACGGTGACATTTAGTCTAAGTCATAGGCGTCGCAACCATTATGTGAAGGGGACAAGTCCCCCCTCATTAAAAAAACGTTCATTTGGACCCCCCCCCCCCCCCCCACACACTTTTACATTAAAACTTTAGTGCAGGCGACGCAGTTTCTCTTTCTTCGTGAACGATTCCATTTCACTTGATTAATAGGATAATACTCAAGCCACTAAAACTCCTCTCCAGGTTTTCCTGGTTACCTCCAACTCTCCACCGTCCCTTCCTGCCTCCTGCCTCGGCAGAAAACGCGCACAGGTGGAGGAGGTGGAGGTACCTGTGTTACTCGCTCGCCAGTTTAGCAGCTTAGTGCGGGCAGTGGTTGACCAGGGGGTTGATCATAAACATATATTCATGTTAGGAGGATGCTTGAGTGCAGCGCTACGTCTGTAGCATGTTAGCTTAGCAGTAACTGTGACGCTGTAAGACGCTGCAGGTGTAAGAGACGCTGTGTGTTCAGGTGCATCAAAGCTGAAATGTCTTTAAAACCCCACACCTTATTGTCCTCAAGCGTCAAGAGAAACATCATTTAGATGAGGAGTGTTGAACACAAGTAAAAAAGTCCAGTGGTGATGTTTTTTATTTCTCTATAAGACAAATAGTGTCGATCTGATGCTCTGTATTAAAGTGTATTAAAGTTAAAATGTCTTTAAAATCCACAGATGAATTTACACAAACTTGGTGAGAAACATGTTTTAAATGTGTGGAATTAAAGGAAATCTAGGTGAAATGCTGCTTTTTTGTTCACTAGTGAACACCTTTTTTTAACATGCGCTCACACGTACACGCGCGCACACACACACACCTACACACATCATTGTGTCCCCCCCCCACATTACGGATGCTTCTGACGCCCTTGGTCTAAGTGTTGTCACTGAGACATGGTGCAGGATGATGCAAGTTGTTGTAAAAATCCACGTGGTTCTATAATACTGGGTACACAATATGAAGATCCTCTCTTCGAGTCTGTTCTGGATGACCAAAACCTTCACGTCTCGTGTGGATGCCCATACGACCTACTAGTTATTTTTGATCAGGACATGTCTTTTATCCCCTACATTAAAAACGTCACTAGAACAGCCTTCTTCCACCTGCGTAGTATCACTAAGATTAGAAACATCTTATTTAAAAATGATCCAGAAAAACTGGTCCATGCATTTGTCACGTCTAGACTGGACTATTGCAATGGTTTATTATCTGGATGTCCAAATACGTCTTTAAAATGTCTTCAGCTGATCCAAAATGTTGCTGCCAGAGTCTTAACTGGAGTTAGTGGGAGAGATCATATCTCTCCAGTTTTAGCTTCTCTCCATTGGCTCCCTGTCAAATCCAGAATTGAATTCAATATCTTACTTATAACCTACAAAGCCCTCAACAACCTAGCTCCAGCTTATATTAGAATTCATATATATACATATTTTCCTAACAGAGCACGTTGCTCTCAGACTGCAGGCTTACTTCCGGTTCCTAGAATTTACAAAAGCAGAATGGGAGGAAGATCTTCCAGTTATCAGGCTCCTCTCTTGTGGAACAAACTTCCAGTTTCTGTCTGTGACACATTGTCCAGTTTTAAGACTGGGATTAAGACTTTTCTTTTTGATAAATCCTATAGTTAGGGTTGGCTTGTCATGCTGCCATAGGCTTAGACTACTGGAGGACAAACTGACCTGATTTCCTTAAATTAATTTTGAAAATTGAATAATTTTCATTTGTATCTTAACATGTGATTCTACCTGCCATTGTGTATCTGTTCCTCTCAAACCCAGCAGGTGGAAGCAGATTGCCACTTGTCCTGAGCCTGGTTCTGCTAAAGGTTTCTTCCTCATGAGGGAGTTTTTCTTTTCCACTGTCGCCTTCATGCTTGCTCAAGATGAGAGTTCTGTGATGGAGTTAAACTCGAAGCAGTCTGCTCCTCAGATAAATTTTGTTAAATTATTATTTTTATATGAACGTTTCTGTTCAGTGCCCTGAGATGACTTCTGTTGTGTCTTGGTGCTATAGAAATAAACTGAGTTGAATTGAATTGGTTCAGGCCATTATGGAATCTATGCACCTGACGTGCCATGAACTTGTACAATATGATGACCTGGCCTCCTGTAAACCCACAGTGTAACCTGTTAAACTCTGTCAACGGCTGGTTTTGTCGTACAGTGTGTCTACAGGACAACGTCAGTGACTTGATAACACTGCTGCCCCCTCACGATGCTACCACTTCTGCTCTTTTGTGCCAACTCTTTACAAATGAGATAGTTGAAATATCTATAGCTTTTCACAGATGTAACTGTGTTATGGAAAACTATTTATAGAGTTTTACTCTTTACGTTATATTCTAGTTGAATGATTTTGTTAAAGCAATTTAAAAGTTGTAAAAGTTCTCTCAAAATAATTTAAATAAGAAGCACAGCGAGGTGACGTTTTATTCGGCGTACATTTTAGCTTTACGCTTTAACATATTTGATCGTGATAAACACTGCAAGGTGCACTGTGTAAAACTCACGTTGTTTTGCATCTTACATAACGAGAAATTTATTAAAACTGTGTTTTAATCCAGAGTATAAAAACATGCTGGGACTTTAAGTGTGACTGTGGGAGTGTTACAAATTCTCAATAGCATGACAAAATGCAGCTTTGCTTTTTACACCTGCTCCAGTTGATTCATTTTCTTACAATTTACTACGTCTCTGCTCTTATTAAGTGTAATAAGATGGAGCCCTGAGCAGCATGTCTCATTATTGTGTGTGTGTGTATGTATGTACACATGTTTACTACCTCACAGATGTCCTTGAGGTGCTTAATGTAGTGTCTCTCTGTGCTCATGATCTCATTGATGACGTTAGCCCTCATCTGGTCCCGGTTTTGGAGGGGCGAGCCCAGACACAGGCAGTCATTGGTTGGATCCAGGTGCCCGTTCTGAACCTCGCTGGTCCCCTCGACTGGTTCTGCCCCTCCGTCCTCCTGGTTCACCCACAGCTGAGGACAAACACATTCAAACACACCCACACACAAACCACTCAATGAGAAATGTGCTCTCCACAGCTTTAAGTGCATAAATCTGATGAAAAGCAGGTTTCGATGGACAGATTCAAATATAATTACAAATCGTTTTGCTTTTAGATGTTAGTATCACAATATTCCCACAGCCTATTCCCACACGCACAAATCCTGCACCAAAGACAGTCTTTAGCATGAGCATGGATGCACACACACACACATACACTCTAAATACTAGGGATGCACGATATTATCGGCACGGTATCGGTATCAGCCGATATTAGCGTTAAAGTTAAATATCGGACATCGGCTATTCCATCAAAATAACTCATTGATATAAAAGGCGCTGTTTTTGTACGACAATCCAGTGACAAGGACGCCTGCAGTGGCAGCACAACGTGATGACGTCGTGTGCGCATACCTAATCTCACAGCGGAGAGGAAAATTCAAAATGTCAGCGGTGTGGACGTTTTTTTTTTCTCCGTTGTTGATGATGTCAGATTCCGACGATTTTTGGACTATGTTGAGCCTCGCTACATCGTCCCCAGTCGGAGATATTTTTCCAACGTAGCCTTACCCAAGTTACAAGACGTCATTTCCGACGTCATTGAGAGGCTAATAGCCGATAGCACTTGGGTGAGTTTTACCACAGACATTTGGACATCATGTTAGCCCTGTTAGCATGATTAGTCTTACGGCACAATGGATAGACAAAAACTTTGCAATCTTGCAGGAAGGATAGCCTTTTTACGTGCAGAGGATCCCACACTGCAGCTAGGAACCTGGAACAAACCTCCACAAGTGAGACACTTTTCATTTAATAGAAGTTAAAGTGCTATGCATATGGCTGTTCTGACAAAGGAAAGTATATAAAATATCGACATCGATTATCGGCCAAATAAATTTTAACATATCGGATATGGGCCAAAAATCCAATATTGTGCATCCCTACTAAATACATGAACTAATTTTACAAAAAAACATGTTGACAAAGTTTCTGATAGTTTGGACAAGAACTCTTAGCTCACCATGTCATAAAAGATATTTACACATTAAATTTCCACCAGTATGTTCTGTGTGTTTTACACTTCCTCTATGACACATATGCTCAGCTCATAATCTTCTCATAAGATTGAGCACTCTCTAACACACACAAACGCACACACAGATTCACAAATTAAGCTTATTCCACTCTCACTCCAAAGATGTGAGTGTGGTTTCAGATGGCCAGCAGCCCACACCTGACAACACACAGTTTGCCAAGATAACATCAAAGAACCGACGGGTAGAATGCCAAACACAAGATGGGAAATGTAACGCCGCAGAAAAGCAGAGTGATAGGTGGTTGAGCACTGACTGCAGACGAGAACTGGTAGTGCAGCGCTAAGGCTGAAAAAAATCGTCAGAGTCAATAGTAAATAAAGTACTGAGAAAAATGGTTCACATTCGTAACAATGATCCTTATTGGGATTTAAAAAATAATCCTTCAAAAAAATCTTTGGTGTTTTGTAGATTTTGTTTCCTGTAGGTCATTAAGAGTCACAGTCTTTACTTTTGACTCCTCAGTTTAGCCTCTCCATCGACCCTCCCTTTGAGGAAAGATGAGATAACGTCATGGGCACATTAATGCTTGGGAATGTTGGAGGGTACGCTGCGTGGACAGACCAGAGCGGGCGGGTGATCGGGCAGGCTGGATGGGTTGATGAAGCTGGAAAGAACGCACCTTTGACGTGGTGTTTTGGAACCGTGGAGTTGCTATGGGGTTGATATAGAAAACCTGTTTTGTTTGGGGCTGAGGAGGGTGGGGTTCCACCTTGGAGAGAGAGAATGACAGAAAAGAGAGATACTTTTTGGTTGACAGTCAGCCTGTCTGCGCTGCCCTCTCAGGAGTGAATATGGAAGGGTGGACAGGTGGGAATGACCATGAGAAGTGTCAGGAGTGGGGGGAGGGAGACTGCTACTGTGAGAAAGGTCCCCCTACAGCAAGTCTTCTAACCTTTGGTTAAATAATCCTTAAATAAATAAACAAACATAAGAAAGTATATATCCTATCCAAGTTTAGAGTGTGTGATACATTTTTAGAGAACACAAACAATAAAGATTGCTTTAATGACATCTACTGTATCCATCCTCTCTCGCTGAATTACTCATACCATGTGAATATGGAAATATTTTATAAATCAAAAGATTGATTTCTCTATACTTGACATCTCCTTGTCCATCATTGAATTATGGGCAGTGCCATGAGAAATGTGCCTTGTGTTGTTCCCAAAAAAACCACAAATCCAACATGTAGATCAGAGTTGCACGAAATATTTTAACCAACTTAAGAGTAAGTTGAAACTTTCAGCAGAAAATTTTGAAAACCTAATTCATGGTGTCAAACCTTTAACGTGCAGCCATAACATTATAATCACATACAAATATTGTGTACTTTTCCCACTATCATACCTCAGACTGTTCATGTAATGGATTAAAGATTGGCTAAAAGAGTGTTGTACCTGGACGAGGGGAACAGACTATTTGATTTGAAGTGATTGTGAAGTGAAATCTAAGGCTGCGGCATATACAGTCAAAAACTAAGGAATACTGAAAAAGTACATTTTATTCCCACATGGTACAATTTGAACTTATGCACCATTGGGGATTGTATAGTGGAACTCAAAGTGACTGTGTACTTCACTGAGAACCTGAAAGGTACATTTATTAACATGTATGTGTAATTTATATGATGGTATGACATATTTACATACCCTAGGTAATACAAGAAGATGTCGGGAATGCGTAGGCCTGTCACGATAACAAATTTTACTGGGTGATTAATTGACTCATAAATTATTGCGATAAATGATAATATTGTTTGAAATTTGACAATAATTAATAATTATTGTTAAATTTAAGAAGAAAAGTTTAATTTGTTTTGCATGTAGTACCTTTTTTCGACCACCAATTGGCAGTATAAGACTGTTTAAACCTAAGGATAGATAGTGAGGGAGCGAGCAGCGTGTCTCTTTAAGAAAAACAGGAGGGAAGCCCCTTGACATGACATGGGCTGTCTCGCCTTCCTTTCTTTGGTTCTCAAACTGGCGGACGCTCGGTGTGGTTTGAGCTCTTTAGCATAGCGTTTTTCACACAAAGCTTTTAATAAAAAAACAGTAAACAAGTTCTTAGCTGCTTTTTGCGGAGAAAAACAACTTGTTACACGAAGGCACGGGATTCAGCCGTGAACTTTGGAGCTTCGACAAGATGGTAGGGGTTGAACGACTACATAATTTTTAAACTTGACATTAACATAATACTACTCGAGTAGAACTTGAGTAGTTGATGACGTCATATGATCTCAAGATGAAAATAAAATAAAATAAAAAATAAAACCGCAAAACAACGTCATTTATTATTTACAACAAAAAAAAAGGACCATCAAAACATTGGGAGCATATATTATGCTCCTACCATTTATCAAACTGCAAATAAGTCACAGAAAAACCAAAACTATTAGTTATTATTATTAAGCTGCAAAAGTGAAAGAAACGTGTGGCACGTAAAAAACAAAACTAAAAACAGTGGGGCGGACGACCACCCCGCACCACTGCCTACTGTGGTGCGCATTAGGTTTAGTTTTAGAGATTAATATGCTTATAGTTTTTTTTATAGGTTTAGAGATTAATATTTTTTGCTTTTTGTTTGTGAAACAAGGTCAGAGGAAGCTGGTTCTGGTTCGATCGATTGTACCCGGTGGTACACCATATTCTGTGACCTGCAACAGTGCATGCAACACCGTCCCCTACGGTCCCAATATACGGTGGTCACAGAATATGGTATAACACCGGTTCGCAACGAGCTCCAAACAGTCAGGAAGTTGATTCATTTTCTGTTTCCTTACGGTAGTTGAACCGGAAGATTCATCTTTAGTGAAATATTTCCAGACTACTGATGAATTTCTACCAGTTTGCCAAGACTGGGCCTGTTCCGCTCAGTCCATCTGCTGGGAGGAATCCATTTGGTAGCTTCTACTAGTAGCCCGGTGTGGATCACGTGACGCAATGATGTCACTGCGAATACTCAATGTGAAATTTAAAAACTCGATAGATGTCCTACAAATCGACCTGTCGATTACTCGAGTAGTCTGTTAAAGCCCTGCAAGACGGAGGTTTTGTCCCCAAGGCCGGCCTGTTAGCTTAGCTTAGCTTGTAGCTTAGCTTCTCAGCTTAGCTGCTTTTAACGATCCAAAAATGCAGTTTTGGACGGTTAAAATGGATTTTAAAGAGAAAGGGAGGGATCAATGAAGAGTACCGGAGTTGAGCCTTTTGTCATCCAGTGTCTTCAGTAGAGAGAGACACGAAGAAACGATAAAGCCGATAAATGAAAATAAGGTTGATAATTTCAATTTATCATGCGATTAATTGATTTATTGTGTATTGTGACAGGTCTAGGAATGCGTTAACCTTAGGTACACGGTGACACACGTAGCAAAGCACCAAGTTAAAAGCAGGTTTTGCACTTGTCAGTGTATAATGGTAGTCATAGCCAACGATAAGACTGGTGCAGTAGTCCCTCGTTTATCACGGGGTTTAGGAGACCACGCCCCCCGCGATAAGTGAAAAACCGCAAAGTAGGGATACGGTAGTCCAAGTTCAAGTTTCACTCCCAATCTCCCTCCTTCTGTGTGAATAAACAATTTAAATTTAAACACTGTAATATTTTAAGGAAACAATTTATTCAAGGATTGTTTATTTAAAATGTTACAGTATTTAAAATTAAATTGTAGAGAAGAGAAGCGCAGCAGGACAGCAAAGGGTTAACCCTTCACGCAGCTCTGCTGCATGGAAAAGAAATGTACTTCTTGATCAAATACACTGTAACAACTGAACATAGAAGTTCTAAAATAATTAAAAATAACTTTTAACACTTTTATATTCTGTGATTATGACGATTTTACAATGTGACGTACTTTGAATTTTAAGTTGGAAGACAAAAGGTGCATCTGGACAGCAAAGGGTTAACCCTTCACGGAGCTGCTTCAGCAGAGCAGAAATGTGTGGGCGGCAGAGAGCGGAGGGAGAGTCTCCCTGCACATGTGGGCTGCACACAGGTGCAAAAACCATCCATCCATCCATTATCTTTACCCACTTCTTCCATTTTGGGTCACGGGGGTCGCCGGTGCCCATGTCCAGCAATCACTGTGTGAGGGGCGGGGTACACCCTGGACGGGTCGCAAGTCCATCACAGGGCCACATAGAGACAAACGAGACAAACAACCATTCACTCTCTCACTCACACCTTGAGACAATTTAGAGTTACCAATCAGACTAACATGCATGTTTTTTGGTCTGTGGGAAGAAACTGGAGTACCTGGAGAAAACCCACGCATGCACGGAAAGAACATGCAAACTCCACCCAGAAAGGTCTCTGGACCTGGATTTGAACCGGGGACCTGCTCGCTGAGAGGCAGCAGCTCTACCAGTTGCGCCACCGTGCTGCCCTAACTTTGGAAACCACTAGCAGAATTAGCATCCGCTAAATTAGATTTTTGCCTACTTTTAAGTCTGCCAACAAATTTCACGGGCTTGTTCCCGTTTGTTTTCGGTGTGTCTCGAAGAGTCGGTTAGGCACGTTATTGGCTTACTATGTGTACACGTGACGAGACGTGATTGATCGACACAGCTTCAACAGGAGACAAAGGCGTGTGATGCTGACTGGGTGACTGTCGTCTGACATGTCAGCGGTTTAGCGTTAGCTTCCAGGGATTTTTGTAAACGAGTTTAGTGGTTTAGCATTAGCAAAGTTAATATTTTTTTAGTCGGTGGAATATGGAATATAGAGTATGGCATATAGAATATAAAATATAACAAAGCTAACCTTTTGGTTAGCTGTGCCCACCACTAGTGAAAATCAATTGTAAATACATTTTTTGATCCCGTTATTATTATACAGTATCATAAAGTAATGCATTCATGCTCAGTCAGGTCATCTGGAAGGTTTCTTTTTTGTGCTGAGACGTTTCGTTTTGTCCGTCATCCATAGGACTTCTTCAATCTGAGGAACCACCAAACAAAACTGATTCTCCACCAACATCATACTCTAGAATGGAAAAAAAAAAAAAAAAACAGTTTGCTCGTGCTAAGATGGCCTCTGGGGCAGTCCGTTAGATGACGGATGAAATGTCTCAGCGCAAAAAATGAGCATGAACTTTGGTCCTCTTAGTAATGTTTTTTTACCTCTATCCCAATATTTTTTAATTATTAAAATGTTTTCTTCTTTCAGCTGCTCCCTTCTACAGGGGTCACCACAGTGAACTAACTCGCACAAAGACTTGGCTATTGTTTTTACGCCGGATGTCCTTCCTGACAACCACAGACACCGAGCTACCACAACCCTCTGTGTGGAGCAGAGAGCTGCCATCTAGGGCACCCAGGGAAGCAGAGGGTGGGGGTTAAGGGCCTTGCTCAAGGGCCCAAAGTGGGGCAAATGAGGGTGGAGGCAGGAAGGGGTGTTTCACCTTTCCCACCCACATTTTGATGTTGTCAGTCCAGGAAGTTGAACCGGTGACCTCACGACCACAGGCCCACCTTCTCTAACCTCTGCACCACCACTCCCCCATTTTTTACTTTTAGTATATTTTTATGTTATTGTATTTTATATAGTAGGTGGTCATCTGTTTTTATGTTTGAGAGCCACTAAAAAAATTGACTGAGTCCGTAGTGAGTTTTTAGTGAGTTTACTGAGACGTGTCTTTCCCGGATGCATGTTGCTGTGGACTTCTGACTCTCATCTCATTCGACAAAGTTTTAGTTTGGCTGTAAAGAGGAAAAAGACACTTGCATGTTGCACAAGTGAACATTTAGCACAAAAAGCTGTTCCACGTGCGTGCAGGTTGCAGAATCAGGAGCTACATGGCTCAGAACGGCTTACTCCCCTTGACTTTACCAGTAGCAGGACGACAGAAGTGGACGTATAGGGCTGCAGCAGATGATAATATATCTGGGTCAGTAAAAGCCAAAATGAAACAGAAATTGGCATCATGCCTATGTAGAGTTTTAGAGAAAAAATTAAATAAAGTAAAAAAAAAAAAAAAAAAATTAAAAAACTCGGACTGAGTGACATAAATTATGTAAGTTTGACCAAAAACCAACTGATCTGGAGGGTCTTACAATTGTTGAATTTTTTTTCAAAAAAGTCATTTTGGGTGTACTGCAGGAATGCCATAAATTAAACATTTGGTCACTTTTTAAGTAAACTGTTATTTTCTAAAACTAAAAGCCCTTAAAAAGTCAAACATTTCTAAAAAGTTATTTGAATTCAATATTTTTATTTCAAGCAAAGATAGCACTAAGACCGATTAATTTATTGAGAATAATTTAAAAAATAGTATTTTTAAGCAGTTTATTGAGATGGTCAACTTTTCCCCTAACAAACACGTTAGGACATTAAAAGACCTTCCAAGGGTCAATCACCACGTGCACGTAGAACAAGAAGACCTTTTAAAAGTGCCAGTGCTGTTGCATGCTGTTTGATTGAGCTTTTAATGCCTATACAGATATTTTAAAGTTTGTTTTGCTGATCTTTAGGTCTGACAGCAGTTTTATTAGGAAACAGTGCATTGTACAGATTGTGCAGGAGAGTTATAAGTTTACTGAATAAAGTATGATTTTTTTTTATCAGGCACTTACATTGCACTTTCATCGAAAAGTTACAAAGACAACACAATCTAGCATATTTTACTTCCATTCAACTTGGTGACCTCTCTGTTGCAAGGCCTTTGGACCAAAAGATGCACGCTCGTCAAGTACAGCAGGTCATAGAAACCAAAAATGGAAAATAAAACCCTCTTTTTTGTTTGTAGGTAAAAAATAACTGCAATCTGCAATCAAAGATAAAACCTTTAAGTTATCCATTTATTTAATTATTTTTGCTATAATGCTAAAAACTACATTATTACTGAAAATTTACTGGAGAGAGTCTCCAATAATTTTGAGCCTTTATCACGCAGCCCTTTGTTATTTAGGCTTACGTCCTGCTAATTTGTACCGCGTGAGTTTAAAAGCCAGATGAACAGCTCGATGAGGCTTTTTGTCATGTTTTTTTGTTTGTTCGTTTTTTTGTTTTCAAAAGGGGCTGCAACAATCAAGCATGTGTGTATGTGTGTGTGTGTGTGTGTTGCTTTGTGGGAGGCTAGAATGGTCTTCAACAATTTTACAGTGGTATCCAAGTAGCTCTCATGTGAGTGGCAGGATGCTGTTCTCCCCGGCGGAACATTGTGTTCTGACAAATGTAAGTAGTCATAATGTTATGGCTGTAAGTTTTTTTCCACATGGGGCCCACCATTCAACAGTTACAAATAGAAAGCAACACAAGTAAACAACCACAGTTTGTGTGATCATCCAGAAATGCATTGAGTGTAAACATAATTTAATCAGGAGCACGGGGGCTCCTGCGCATCTTTTACTGTTCTTGCATTTAAAAAAGTTAGTTAAACTGTTTGTCTGTGGACATGAAGCCATATTGGTTTATTTTCTGTGTGTCTGGGCATGTATTCTGTCTGTACCGTCTCTAAGTGTGAGGGTATCTGTTGTGTCTACAACTGTTGGCTGCTCCTAACTCACCCGTACAAAGCTGGCAGGGAACCATCCTTCCTCCTCGTCAATCTGGCCCCACCACCAGTCTTTGTTGGAGGCGTCCAGCACCTTGATGACATCACCAGCCTTAAACGCCAACTCCCGATCCGCCATGGTCACATGGTCCCATACCGCCTCAGCATTGACAACCGAACCTCCACTTATCAACTAAAGAAATTAGAGGGAGAGACAGGGCATGCCCTTTGTTTTATTCTGACGACACGAGGCTGCATGTAAACACTGAAAACAGGCGCGAGCGGTGAACATGGAGATGATTATCAATAAAATAAAGACTCATCTTAATAGGAATCAAATTTTAACACAGTAACGCTCTCGTTCTGGCTTCAATTTGTGTGAATCCTTGTTGTTGGGCCCACTCGGATTACTAATTGATGCAAATACACATCCTCAAAGCAAGGGTCTATTGGCAGTTTAGGGACTGCAAAGCAAATAGAACACAACAGCCAACCCAGACCAACAAAACAGAAACAACACACGCACAAAAATAAAAGACAGAACCATTAGAGGAGAAACAACACAGTGTTCAGACACCGTTCCATACGGATATAATTGACTCATTATGGCATTATAATAATTACAAATTTTAATGTAATCTAAACACTGTGAAGCAGACAAACGTGAAGGGATAACGTCTCTTCCTTCATGCAGTAACTAGAGCTTGTTGTCTTATCTGCAGAACAGTCATCAACAAAACACGGACGGATGACTCATCACGTCTAACTGATCGATTACAACATCATGAATAAGTAATGAGAACATCCTAAAACCCTGCAAATAAACATTTACGCCGGGCAGCCATATGAGCACATACAGAAAGCACCAAGCGATATGCATGAGTCAGGTAGAAGCACTGAAGCCCAGCAGGGCGATGAGTATTCTTTGGAGGACTTGGAGGAGCTAAAGGTTGTTCTCATTAAAGAACATGAGACAGCAGACGATGTTCCAGAGACAGACCCGAGTCTGACATCATCCATCCATCTACAGCTTCACCATCCATCACACTGACAACCTAGCTTCACAGCCTTGACAGCTACACACACTTGCATACATATATACACATATATATATATATATATATGTATACACATGAGCAGTCACACATTTATTTTCGTATACATTAACTTTGTCTGTGCATTCCTGGCATATTTCCTGAAATTGTGTTCCCTCCACAGTAGTGTTCATCTGGATTCTGCGGTCCAGAACTAGCCATGCATTCATTCCCCGGGGCTGTAGACAGAGCAGCCAGGGCTAACTAACCCTGACAGGTGACGCTTAAGCTCAAGGTAAGGACTTATCAAAGGCCTGGAGACAAGGATGTCACATGCATGGGTATAACATTAGCTGCTTTCTCTTTATTTGGACCCCTGTATTCAGCTTATTACATTAAATCAAACTGTTTTTATCGTCCGTAATAACACATGGTTTATTTTATTGTGTGGGTTCTAGGGCAGCGTGGTGCTATTTCTAATGCACGAGCTGCCTTTCTTATTTTTGAGAAACAGCAGATTGTGTGCGAGTGTGCATTTGCTTGTATCCTGACACTCAGCAGCTCCCACTGCCCTCCACAACCTGTGCACAAGCCCACATCCATGACGCCTCACTGAGGCAGCTACGGGGGATTATAAACCAATCTGGGCTGAGGAGGAGTGAGCACAAGGAGGGGACGGCCATGCTTGGAAGGGAAAGAGCAGCTGTCGTCATGGTGACAGATAAGGATGCTTCACTGGTATCGACAAGACGATGGGATGAGGCAAGGACACTCCAGGATGCATCAGAATATCATCAAATTTGGGCACCTGTGTGAACCGACACAAACAAAGAGTGACCGTTGGGTGAGGATGATGTAACTCAAACCTGTTGCAGTCAACTGCAACGGTAGATGACCGCCTTTCAACAACCAAGTGTCACAGTAGAATCAGAGCTAAGGGGTAACAGTGACTGTAGATTATACATCAGGGCTCTCTACTAAGGTAGTAGAGGAGGATTACTGCAAATCTTGTGTCATGCTGTCATGGAAACAAGACCAATCAATTGTTCTCAAAACATTTTGAACACAGTTCAGTTTTACTGAAAGGACTTTTGATAAAAAAAATACAAACAAGAATAACTTGTGGTAGTTAAATTAGTTTTAACTTGATAGCGGGAACTCCATGTGGAACAGCACCACAGAACAGATGAACACTGGGTCTGAAGCTAGTTTACTTCTTGCCCTTTCACCTCCTTAACC